TCTATATTTTAGAAACTTTTTATATGAAAATTATTATTACTTATTTATTATTAATTATTATTATATATATTTAAATAAATTATTACTTTCAAGAAATAAAAATATCGAAAAGATCTTATCACATTAAAATTAATTAAATAATTAATTAAATAAATATTACTATTTGAAATAGAATAAAAATATTTAGAAAACAACAATATTAACGCAATTATTAAAAAAACTATTGAAAAAGCACTAAAGTAAATAATTCGTAATAATAAACAATAGTAAATGAAAGTCTTTCGTTAAATAAATTTATATAATAATATTTATAAAGAGAAATATTCTATAAAATATTTAAAAAAATCTTTCATGTTCCAAATTCGCGCATGTTTAATAAACGAGCGCCATTACTCGCCATTCAATCGATACATCACGTGACGTCAGTTTCGAGCTCATAGTGATATTTTTATTTCATGAACATGAAAGAAATATGTGAATGATAATAAGTTTCTTTTTAAAAATACGCATAAATTTGTATGCATTGAAAATTTGAAGATATTTGAACATGATATTTGGATTTATTCTTAATGATCATGTCATTGCAGTATGTCATTGACCATCCCTACCATAGATGCCTAACGAATCGAGACAGATATCTACCTCGCAAATCTTTTTCTGATTGGTTGAACGACTCGATCAAGAAACGACAGTAAGCCAGTCGACCAGCGACAAGCATGGGAAGAGCACGTGTCATTTATATTGTTGCGCACAACTCGGCAAGCTTATACGTCGACTCGCACGATTATACCACCACCCCTACCGACTTTTTCACCACCAGTGAAATGAACGTAGTCGGTAACGCCACTAGCGTTGTAACAACCACCGAGAAAAAGACATCAGTTTCTTCTTCTGTAGAGGTGGTTGATAGTTCGAAAATTGTAGTACCATTGCGTACACCGAATATAGTGCCCGCGAATGCTAAGTACATCAGCGTACGCCGTCGGCCTGTTACGATGCTACTCGCGGTGATCGCGCTCCTTTGTGCCGGTAGCAGTGCCGAGGTATTCACTAACACATTCCTCGTGAAGATGAGGCAGCCCGCGGAAAGACACATCGCCGATCGCGTGGCTGCTAGAAATGGATTCGTTAATCTTGGACCGGTAAATTTATCTTTTATTAATAAAAATTAATTTTTTCTTTTTGATGAAATAGATTATTGTAATATAATGTTATGAAATGAAAGGACTTTATTGACTTTTAAAATAATCTACATCATATTGAACATAAAATATACGAACTATTTCTTTTTAAAGTATTTATTAGTTATATGCGAATATTATTTGATGCGATTAAAATAAAAAGAATGATAGAAAATAAAATTATATCCATAAGATTTTAGACTGTATTATAATATTAATACAATTATATAGTTCTTGATACAAACACGTATCATTAAATTTAGCAATATATCATACGACGTGCTAAAGAAATCGCTTATCTGAGATGAAATAGAGTGTGGCTTAGGGTGCGGATGGGGTGAATACGCTAGGATCAGAATGAAATCTTTCTTGAACGATCGATACGAACTTTGCTGAGAAAAGGTACTTTGAATAAAACGCAACTGTTTATATATTATTTTTCGGACTCGGGTAAAAAATTCAAGATATAATAATAAATATAAAATTCTTTGAGCTAAGATATCTATTTAAATAAATACATACAATTTATACCTTTACAATTTTAAATATAACGAAAATATAATTTCGATTGTTTTTTTTTTATATATCTTTTTAAACAATATTCTTCGTTTAAATCTCCAACATATTAAATATTAAAGAATATAGATTATAAATATATATTGTTTAATAAATATATATATATATATCCATATATAAAATTTCTAATATATCACGCATATTGATAAATTCGAATAAATTCGAACCTATTGTTTGCGCAATCGTTGGAAAATTTGTATTGGTCATATATTTTTTTGATTCACTTCACTATTGATTTATATCAACGATAAATTTGTTATCGTTTCGCCTTGTGATCGACCGATATTCATCGCAGGTATGCAGAATTTATCGAAAGCATTGATTTTGTCACGAATACCCGCATTATCGCGAAAAAAACGCGTTCGAAACAATTGATCGACGTCATAAATGTGTAGAATACGTATTAATGATAAGATAAACTTCACTATCTCGTAATACGAGGATAGAATCGCGCCATTCATTTCTTTTCTTATGGTATCTCAGAAATGTTATTGAAATATTTATTATATAAGAAATATATATTGTCATAGATTAGTTTATTTTTATTATATTTACTGAAATATCGGTTATTTCACTTTACGCGTCTCGATTTCTAATTTGCTTTAATCGAAATGAAAATATCAATCACTGATCAGACAGTGCAACAGTGAAAGAGACGCGGCATGGTCAGACGCCTACGTGTCAAATATTGCGTAGGCTTTGTCTAATATACTCAGCTTTTTCTCTATTTTCCTATCGATATATTGTGAAAAATGTCTTTTTACAAGAAAGATTTTTGATCAAAAGACATTTTCAAAGTTAATTTATAGGGATAATAACGAATAAATGTTTACAAATTTCAATTGCGCTTGCGAATAACAATATTCCCTTATTGTACGAATTTTATTATTTTATTATACGTTTTTGCGCTCGAGATATTAGAATACTTTTTCTGGGAAACCAATTTTACGATTGTTTATTTCGTTTCGTTCAAACATATATACCTTACTGTTGATTCGGATTGTGTAATCTCGTTAAACGAATTTCTGAGAATTTTTCTCGAGTTGAGAATAATTTAAATAAAAAAAAAAAAAAAAAAAAA